TGTTGGGAGCTGAGAAGCTGTAGGTGCTCAGTGACAAGAAGCACTGGGGGTGGCCGGGAAATCTCCAGGGCCAAGTGGAGGACAGCCAGACAGAAAGCTTTTAGGGAAGGGCACGGATTGGAGCTGGGTGTGGTGGGACGGGGCAGGCCCAGGGGATGGAGCCAGCAGGTCAGTGTGCCCTCCCCTGCCCAGGGGACACCCAGGCTGGCCCCCACTGTGTCATCCTGTGGGCAGCAGATGGACCGAGCTTCCTCGAAGCCTGGCTCAGCTCAACTGTCCTGATTTGGAAGCCGGGCTCAGCTCAATACTCAGGTGTTGGGAGGGACGCTGTACTGTCAGTTTCCCTCTGAGATGAGGGGTTCTGTGGACCAGCAGCTGCAGAAGAGGGTTTTCCCGTGGTTCCCAGGACAGAAACAGCACCAGAGGCCTGGCAGTGGGTTTGGCAAGGGGACAGCTTGGAGGCACCAGGTGGCACGCAGGAGCCCTGCTGTCCAGCAGAGGCAGCACCACCTTCTCAGGGACAGTGAGGTCCCCGCACCTCAGAGGCTGGAAGAGCCTTGAGCCCTCGATGTCCGGAGCCTGATGCATGGACCGCAGATAGCAGCCAGCAACATGGTCTCCTGTGTTTGAAGAGTCCATGTCCCCTTCCCAGCCCCAGAGGGGCAAGGTGGAGTGACCAGCATCCGGGAGGGAGATGGGGTCCCCCTGTAGCCCCTGAGACCCTGACTTCTCAGAGGGGTATCTATGAACCCCAGAATTGGGAACTGGGCAGACTCTCGCCACTCTGCCAACCCCATGTCCCCCTGGCAAGGCCGGGGCAGCATCCAGTGACTGACTGCAGGCTCTGGCCACCTGCTCGCCACACTGTGAGGTGTGGGGTCTGGGGCGAGAGGTCAGGGTGCTGAGGTCCAGCCTGGACTGGGGCTGCGGAGCCTGGAGCAGGGGCAGGGGCCTGGCCGGCCCTCAGCCATGGCCACTCTCACCGCGCTGCTCTCCCGCAGACGGTGCCCCGCTCAGCGAGCTGTCCTGGCCATCCTCCCTCGCCGTGGTGGCTGTGTCTTTCTCCGGGCTCTTCGCCGTCATCGTCCTCATGCTGGCCTGCCTGTGCTGTAAGAAGGGCGGCATCGGGTTCAAGGTGAGGCCTGGGGGCCGTGGGAGCTGCTGTGGGATCCCGCAGGCAAGGCCTGTAGCGTCCACTTGACCCTGAGCTTCTCTCCTTCCCGGGGCCACCAAGGTGGCTGCTAGGTGGCCGTAGTCACTGCGGGGCCACCTGGGGACCATGTGGACCCTGGCCCAGGGACTCCATAGCTCCTCCTCAGGAACCTGCCCCAGCTTCCCTGACTTTGAAGCCGTCTGTTGGGGCGTGATCTGATGCTCCCACTTCAGCCTGGGATTGGGCTTGAGCACTCATGGAGGCTGAGGACAGCCTTTCAGGGGGCGTCGGGGACTCGAGCTGGTGTGGGAGGGGGCTTGCCTCCCTAGAGGCCCCTGAATCCTGGTGAAGGAGCTGCCTCTGCAGGGGGCCCTCACATCCCTCCGAATTCAATCTGCAAAGGGAAGTCCGGGCCGCCCAGACAAGCTCCCCGCACAGATACCTTCTCACCAGTTGGTCACCTTGCCCGGGGTATCTTCTGCCCTCTGGAGGGGCGGTGTGTGATGCTGGAGCCCTGCCTGCTGGTTAGGGAGCATCACCAAGGGCAAGGCCTGGCCTCACTAGGCCGCCCTTCTGGAGGCCAAGGCCCCCAGCCAAGGACAGGTGCTGAGCACTGTTCCTCCCGCTGTCAACCCCCAGCCCACTTCCAGCTGTAACTCCGAGCAGCAGGGAGGGCCAGGCAGAGAGCGCCCCGGGCAGCACTGCTCACCCCTCCCGGAGTCTCCATGGGCCCCATTCCTGCTGATGAGCAAACGACACCCTGGCCTGGACCTCTGGTGGTTCACAGACCCACGGGGGTCGGCCCCGTCCCTGGGCCAGAGGTCAGATTCTTAGGCCAGGAGAAGTCAGAGAGGGAGGAGGAGGGGGGAGGCTTTGTTCTGCGGCGCGCGCAGCACCCCGTCCATATCTCAGGGGCGCTTTTCTACAAAGTGACCCGTGCCCCCGCCGGCGTCACCCCCATTTTGGAGACAGTCCCAGAGTCCTCCCTGCCCCCATATGTCATGACGCAGAGTGGGCCAAGGATCTGGCCCTGCCCACCTGTCTCGCTGGCCTGGAAGGTGACGGTGTTGAATGTGGCCTTTTTGCCTTTTCCAAAGGCCACATTTTCCAGCCCGTTCACCCTTGCAGAGCCCTCTGAGGTGGCCTAGGCCCCGTCAACCAATGAGCAGCTGCGGGCCTGGGCGGCAAAGCTGTGGCCCCAGGCTGTGGGGTCTGCGCTGCTGCCCAGAGCCCCTACCCTGCCCTGGGGACATGCCCCTGGACCTGCTGGCTCCAGGGGCCGGGCCAGGCAGCGCAGGCGCCTTCCTGGGGATCCTGAGGCCAGAGCCTCAAGGTCTTGGCGGGGACAGGAGTGGAGGTGGGGCCTGGGTGGGACGTGTGGGGCTATTGTATCAGTGGCCCCTCCTCGGGGCACTGTAAGAACAAGGCCCCAAACAAGGGCTGGCCACAGCTCCTCCTCCTGCGCCCTCCTCACCTCCTTGGGAACATGGTGCCCGGAACATTCCAGCGCCAGCGTGCCTCTGGGAAGTCCTGCCTCCACACTGGGCTCCCTCCTGGGATTTGGGGGCCTGTGCCGGACTCCCTGGTGGGGAGCTGTGCTGGGGGAAGGGGCTGGGCAGGCCCCTAATGCTGACCCTGTGCTACCTGATTGCACGCTGCATCGGCAGGACCCGGCCGGCCCCCGGGCAGCAGGTAATGCCTGGAGCCCGGGCCCGACCCCAGGGAGAGATGGCATCTGTGACCTGCGCCCCTCTACAAAGCCCAGATGGGCGGGGCCAGGGCTGGGATTAGAGGGCCAAGAGGGGGCTTCTGGGGTGGCCTCCTGGGTCCTAGGGAGGGGGAGTTGCCCACACAGCACCTGCATCCCCCATCCCTGTGTGCTCCAAAAGTGCAGGCTGGGCCAGGCCTGCGGGAATACCAACAGAGCCACCCACCCCTCTTTTTGCAGCCCAGGGAAGGGAGGCATCCCCAGGGTCACACGTAGTGTGTGAGGAGCCCAGGCCTCCCCTCCCACTGCACTTGCCTGTCCTCGGACTCACCAGCCCGAGTGCTGGCCAGGATCCAGCGGGAAGTCCCTTGACCCATCCGAGCCTCAGTTTCCCCACCGGGGCACTGGGAGTTGTGAGGAGGCAGAGAGGCTGTACCGAGTGCTCGGGGATTGCAGCTGTCACTGTGTGCCCGGGGCCTTTGCTTTCAGCTGGCCCAGGACTTTGGAGACTTTGGCTCTCAGAGCAGGAATGCGCCCTGGACTTGGGGGTGGGGTCTCCCCTATACAGGTGTGGCCTCTGCATTTCAAAATAGCAGCCTGGCAGGGAGTGGCCCAGTCCTAGGCTGCACGGGGCCAGGCTCTTAAGGAGCCCTGGGAGCTCCGGAGGTGGTGCGGCCACCAGGCAAAGGTCCAGGGCCGTCGGGGTGGATGGCGGTGGCAGGTGGGCTCTGGGCTCCCAGGCACCCAGGAATGCTCCTTGTCCCTACAGTGGGGGGGTTGCTTAGTTGCTTCTCCCACAGGACTGTGGGACAGGGGGCGATGGAATTCCTGTCCCCAAAGCTGCCCCATGGGAGGGTGGCACCCCAGGCAGGGCCTGGGGTGAGGGGTGCTGGGGGTACGGGTGGTTGAAAGGTATTGGAGGCTGATTCTGGATGGGCAGGGCCAGTTGGCCTCAGTGCCCTCACCTCGGTCCCTTGGTTCCCTGCCTCTAGGCCCTTAGGCCCCAAGGTGGGGCTCAGCCTGGGCGTCCACCAGGGAGGGATGGGGGAACTGAGGCCAGGCCAAGGCGCTGGTGCCTGCAGCTCATCGCACCCTTTCTGGAGTCTGAGATGGGTCCTCTTGGCTCTGGGATCTGCCTCTGGCCCCTTATGGGACAACTGAGCCTCTGGTGGGGGGCGTGGGGGGTCAGCAAGAGGAGACAGATAGAAGGGCAGTTAGCAGGCGTGCTGGGCCGTTAGCCTGCAGGGGTGGGGGCTCCAATTCTGGGCCATGTACCCCGTCCTGTCCTGCCCTGGGAGCTCGGCCCTGGAAGAAGGGGGCCTGGAAAGGCCCAGCCACACCCTTCCTGGACCTGCGAGAAGCCCTGCTCACGCCCGGCCCGGCCCGCAGGAGTTTGAGAATGCAGAGGGGGATGAGTATGCAGCTGACCTGGCACAGGGTTCCCCGGCCACGGCGGCACAGAACGGGCCCGACGTGTACGTCCTGCCACTCACGGAGGTCTCTCTGCCCATGGCCAAGCAGCCTGGACGCTCAGGTGAGGGCTGGGTGGGGAGACGGGGTGGCCTCCCTCCGGGGCCCAGGTGCTGGGTGTTGGGTGTGACCTGGGGGCGCCAGGGAGACCGGAAGACTCAGCTCTGGAGTGGGAACAGCACAGGGCTGGGAGTGGCCGGTGGGGTAGACGCAGTGTGCGGCCCTGGACTCCCTGTGGCTGCGTCCCAGGCTGCGCTGTGGGGCCAAAGGTGCATGTACCTCTTTCTCCTGGGCCTGGAGGCCGGCCAGGGGTTGGCAGGGTCTGGTACAGCCCTGGGCCTCCAGCCTGCCCTGCCCAAGGGCTGCTATGCACAGGGGCAGGGGTGGGCACTGGGGCAGGGGTGACACTGGGGCAGGGGTGCAGGCTGTTTGGTCCTGGACACGGCCATGTGCTGGGGGCAGGGACTCTTCTGCAGTCCAGGGATGCTTGACCCCAGATTCCTGCCCCCTTGAGCGCCAGCCCTTCAGGGACACGGGCTCCATTGTGCATGGCGGGAGGAGGGGCCCTGGTGGGGCCCCTGTGGGCGGGTGGTGAATCGGCCTTTCACTCAGGCTGGGGGGAGGGGCCGAGGGGTGGGGCTGACCCAGGAGTGCAGGTGCAGGCAGGGCCCTCAGCCACAGCCTCATCTGCCCCCATCTTAGGGTCCTAGGCCGACCACTCACACGGGGTGGACGTGCTGGGGGAGGCGGGGGGTGAATGGCCAGGCTTCAGGAACTCCCAGTTCTGTCCTGGAGCCTGGGTGGTGAGTGGGGATCCCTCCAGAACCATCAGATCTCAGGCCCCCTCCCAGGAAGCTTCTAGCCTGGGGCTTCCCCCATCACTGCCCACCTCCAGCTCCTCTGGGAACACAGGCAGGAGGGGTGTCAGGCCAGTGGGAGGGGACCCTGCCAGCCCCGTTGGGGCTCTGTTGGCACCAGGGCCTGTTACCACAGTGCCATGAAGGCTGCCTCACCTGCTCTGAGCTGTGCCTGGCTGGACCCTGAGAGCTGGCTCTGAGCCGTGCCTGGCTGGGCCCTGTGAGCCTCGCCTTCATCGTGGCAGCCTGGCACCCAAGGCACTGGTCTGGGACCTAGAGAGGGCCCCCAGCCCCCAGCTTCGGAGCCAGGGCCTCAACACCTGTCCTACTGTGCCCCGTCTCCCGGAGGACAGGTTCCCAGTTAGGCAGGAATCAGGGCTGGCACTTGAGCTGTGAGCACATCTGTGGCCGTGCGCGGAGGACTGCAGCCACCCACTCAGCGCACGAGGTCTTCTGACATTCCCGGATGGCTGCGGGGGTCCCTGAGCCCTGTGCTGACCTTGCTGGGAGCTGCCAGGGACCATCCAAGGGGCCACTGCCCTTGGGTCCAGGGGCAGGTATGTGCCTAGCCCCTGCAGATTCTCCGAGCCACCTCTGGAGGACCGTCCTGGGGACTGGGGTCGGCAGACAGGGACCTGGAAGAAAGCAGTGGTTACCTGTTTCTCTACTTTTAGAGCTCTGGTTTCAGTTTTCCGGGGGGCATGTGCTTCTAGAGAGGAGAGAGACTGGGGTGAGGCCAGAAGAGCAGCCCCAGAGGTCAGCGGGGAGAAACCTGGGCAATGGCCCCACCCCCTGGGGACTGCAGAGAAGGACGGCCGCCTCCGGCGGTGCCCAGGGCCTCTGGACTGTCTCAGCACCCATGGTCAGGACCCCCACACTTGCTCAGGGACAGTGTGGGCGTGGACGCCCCAGGGTGAAAGAGGGCTGTCCAGACAGGCTGGGCTCGGGACACAGCGCCCGGTGGGCCCACATGCTCGGTTCTGCCCTGCCCCACCTCTACCTTTTCTGGGTCTCTGGGCCCTGGAAGGAGCCCCCTCCCCCTGGGCTCTCCTGGCAGCTGGGCTCAGACCCAGCCCCGTCAGCCCTCTGGGCAGCTGGCGTGGGAGCAGAATTCGGGGAATCCCTCGGGGCGTGGGCAGGCATGAGTGGGCTCTGCCAGCACTGGCCCCTTCCTCCCAGGCCTCACTGACCCTTCCTCCCACTGACCTCACCCGGCCTGGCCCTCGGGGAGAATGGGCCAGTGTGCTCCGTGCGGGGTTGTGCCAAGCAGCCCCCAACAAAGGAGCCTTTGGTGTTCCTGGCGTGGGATGCCAGCCTGCGGCAGGGTGGGGGTGGGCCGCTGCAGTGCCCTCCCTGTGCCGTGGCCCCAGCCTCTCGCTCAGCCACACTGCCTGCCTGGTACAGCCCATGTGGTGGGTCCAGCTCCAGGCCCTGCTGTCCCTCGCCCAGCTATTCCGGTGGCTTCAGGCACCTTCTCCAGACCTATCCAGAAAGATGCCAGATGGAGCCTGCAGCTCCGTGGCTTTTCTGGGAAGCAGCGGCCCCTGATCTCGAGAGACCCTGGCTCCTGATGCTAGCCCCAAGGCTGCCAGCTGGTGCTGGGGACTCAGGACAGTTCCCCAGAGCAGGCCAAGCGGGCAGTCCCTCCAGGGGCCAGGTGAGGAAGCTGGGGGGTGCGAAGGCCGCACTGGGTCCCTGAGCCCCCTGCTTGGTTACAGTGCAGCTCCTCAAGTCCACGGACCTGGGCCGGCACAGCCTCCTATACCTGAAGGAAATCGGCCATGGCTGGTTCGGGAAGGTATGTGTCCCACCTGGGAGAGAGGCTCTCGCCTGGTAGGCAGAAGGGACACACGGATGCAGACCTGCTCTTCCTGGGAGCCACCCCCGCCCCGAGGGTCCCTTCTCTGGCCCCTGGGCCCTGCTGGATCCCTCCTCAGGGAGGTCTTCAGGGTCTGGGTGCATTCCCTTCTCCCTAGGGGGTCCTGGGGTCAGAGGTACCTGGGGAGGGGCCCTGGGAGGGAGAGAAGCAGGCTCTTGGTCCTGGCCTTCCCCCGACCCTGGCCTAAAGGAGACAACTGGGTCCCTCTTCCTCACTTCAAACCCCCAGAGAGAGAGAGAGAGCAGCGGGAGACCTTGGGGAGAGAGTAACACAAAAGACTCAGAATATTACAGCCGGAGGGTCGCTGGGAGGGGTCCGGAACCCACACCCTGCGCTGCAGTGAATGAACTGGGCACAGGAGGAGAAGGGGTCTGTCCTGGGGGCCGGGGTGGGGCAGGTGGGAGAAGAGTAAGGCCTGGAAGCCGGGGCCTGTGGAGGCGGAGCAGCCACGGGTGACGCTGTCCCACAGGTGTTCCTAGGGGAGGTGAACTCTGGCGTCAGCAGTGCCCAGGTGGTGGTGAAGGAGCTGCAGGCCAGCGCCAGCGTGCAGGAGCAGATGCAGTTCCTGGAGGAGGTGCAGCCCTACAGGTGGGAGGCCATCGGGCACAAAGGCCCACACTGCGCGACCCCCTCCTCCCCCTCCCCTGCTCGGCCCGCCTCCCCCTCCCCCGCTCCTCCTGCCTCCCCCTCCCCCGCTCCTCCCAAGTCAGGGGCCGCCTGTCCACTCCTGCAGGGCCCTGAAGCACAGCAACCTGCTCCAGTGCCTGGCCCAGTGTGCCGAGGTGACGCCCTACCTGCTGGTGATGGAATTCTGCCCGCTGGTGAGCTGCTGCCCAGGGGGACCTGGGGCCTTTGCTGAGCCGGGGCACTCCCTTGCCCTGCCAGTGTCTGGTGCCACCCCCTCCCTGGGGGCCTCACATCCTCCCTAAAGCCAAGACCCAGGGACCCTACCCCACAGACTTCCAGAGGGGGCCATGGGGAGACCCAGCCTCACTGGGGAGGGACCGTGGGGGCTGGGCACAGGACAGGCCTGGGCTGGGACTCCCTGCACCCCTGGGGAGCTGCCAGCTGCTTGCTCACCTGCCTGTGTGCCCTGTGGTTCAGGAGGAGGCATCCTGGGCCAATTGGGGGGCCACTGCTCCATTGGGGCTCCATGGCCTCACTCAGGCTTGAGTTTGTCATGGGGGACAGGGGTTGGCCACTTTCCCAGGCTGCCTGGAGTCCTGGGCTTGCCCATCACCACCCTGCCGGGGACCCACCCCCGTCAGGGACCTGCCCCCCACCCCTTGCACATACACAGCTCCTGCACTGAGCCGAGCCTGCCCGCGGCTGGGCTGGGTCCCCTGCTGGCTTCCCTTGGGACAGGGGCCCTCACACATTGGCGTCTGGACTCCTAACGTTGGCCCTCCCAGGAGCTGGGCTTTCGGCAGGTCAGGAGCTGCCGACCAATCCTCGACCACCAGCCCCAGGCTCCATGAAGCAGATCCACCTGGGCCCTGCGTTTCTCTCTGTACCACAGGCCAAGGGACTCCTGCTGCCCAGGGCTGGCTGAGGGGCAGTGGAGAGGGAGCCTTCAGTCCAGCCGAGCCCTGGTGGACACGGCCCCTCTCCAGGAACTGTTGGGCGTCAGCCACTGTGCAGGGCGCGGGGCTGCTCTGGGCAGCTGCTGTCCTCTCTCAGCTGTGGGTAGGGGTGGAGGAGTTGGGGAGGTAGGCAGGGACCTTCCAGGGTGGTCAGTCCCCAGTCTGCTGGTGACTGCGCCATGCCCCCTTTCTGCAGGGGGACCTCAAGGGCTACCTGCGGAGCTGCCGGATGGCAGAGTCCATGGCGCCCGACCCCCTGACCCTTCAGCGCATGGCCTGTGAGGTGGCCTGCGGCGTCCTGCACCTGCATCGGAACAACTACGTGCACAGGTGAGGGCGGGCGCGGGCCAGTGGCCAGGAAGCCCTAGGCCAGGGCCCCTCCCTGCTGTAACCCTTGGACTGGGGCCCTCTCTGTGCCTCGGCCCTCCCCTGAAGGAAGGGCATAGGGGCGGGTCCTGCCGCAAGGGGGTTGCGAGGACTGGCCAGGTTCATCTCATGCAGCATCAAACAACCGCTATACAAAGGGATTTTATGACATTTTTGAAAAATTGGGAAGACAATGGTTTGACACCCACTTTGCAGGTTTAGACGAAGAAATGCGCACTGTCAAGCTGGCCTGTTCTCTATCCCCGAGGCAGTCAGCCGCCACCCTGCAGCCCCGCGCCAACCCCACACTCTGTCTCCCTCAAGTCCCAAAGGGAGGGCTCAGCAGGCCCTGCTTCGCAGAACCCTGGAGGGAGGGTTCTGTCCTGCTCGGGCCAGGATGCCCAGCCCCTGGGGACCCGGGGGGACATGCTGGAAGAAGTGGCGAAGGACATGTGGCCCCGCCAGCCCCAGATGCCGCACGGCCGTCCTCTCCAACAATATCCTGGTGCTGAGTGATGACTCAGGTGACTCCAGCATCAGTGATTTTGTTGAAGAGGGTAGCTGCCAGCCTCCCGACCTGCCTGCCCAGCCCCAGCTGCCCTGCCCCCAACCCCACCCCACCCCACCCCACCCCATAGGCCCAGGACACGTGGGCCTATAGCAACCCCCAGCACACAGACACGGGCTTATGTGGGGAGGGACAGCCGGGGTTGGGCTCTGTCCCCACCCTGAGTCCTGAGCACAGAAGTAATACCGCAGGTGTGGTAATATCTACCCAGTACCCTACGCCTCCGCACACCCACGTGACCGGCCAGGCAGGGGGTCCGAGCCAGCAGCCAAGGCAGGCTGGGTTGGAGGTAGTGCCAGGGTTAACCCGTGTTCTCTGCAGACCCTACCCAACCCTGGGGCCGGTGGTGGCTCAAGTGAGAGAGAGCTCCAGCTCTGAGTGGGCATGCAGGGCTGGGCCCTGAAACTGGACTCTGGCAGCTGGCAGGACCCCTGGGATACTCCAGGCCTCAGTTCCCCCATCAATTCCCACCTCCTGGGGAGCCGAGGGTGATGGTGTAGCAGGGCTGGGAGGAGAGGGTCCTGGAGAAACGCGGACAGGTCCAGGTGGGTTTTGGCAGGTCCTCACCCTCTCTAGGCCCCATTCTCATCTGCATTGTAACATTTGAGGTCCACGTAAACGGTCCTTCCCGAGGTCTCAGGGCTGGGCACAGGATAGGGCCCTAGGCAGGGGTGGGTGGTGGCATCATCTCCAGTGCCCCTTCTGGCCTGGACTGTGAGCCATCCAGGTGTTGGCAAAGGACCCCTGTGCTGGACTCCCCGACCTGGCACACCCCACTGCCCCTGCCCCCACCCCTGACCCTGACCCTGACCCTGACCCTGCCTGCAGCGACCTGGCCCTGCGGAACTGCCTACTCACGGCTGACCTGACGGTGAAGATCGGTGACTACGGCCTGGCTCACTGCAAGTACAGAGTGAGTGGGGTGGGCTGGGCTGGGCTGGGCATGAGGGGTGGGGCCTGCACCGGCAGGGGTGACCCGTCCCTGTGCCAACAGGAAGACTACTTCGTGACTGCCGACCAGCTGTGGGTGCCTCTGCGCTGGATCGCACCGGAACTGGTGGATGAGGTGCACAGCAACCTGCTCGTCGTGGACCAGACCAAGAGCGGGAACGTGTGGTGAGTGCAGCCCTGGTGGCGCCGTGAGGGGCTGAGGCCGAGTGCCACCTGCCTACCCATGTCAAACCATGGCCACGAGTAGTGAGGTTGAGGGGCTGCCGGAGCCACCTGTAGTGGCCACACGCCAGCAGCCCAAGTGGCTGGTTAGGTGGTGACCCCACACTGGTGGAGACACTGCCTGACAGGTGTACCAGGGACCCCTGGGCTGACACCACCCATGGCGGGGTCAGAGCACACATACAGGGCCACAAGCCAAAGCCCATCCTCAGCATGCTGGGGGGCCTGTCCTGGGATGGGAGACTCGGTGTGCACCTGTGCCTGGGGAGAGGGTCTGGGCGGGGTGTTGGCTGCCTTCAGGGGAGTGTAGGTCAGGCAGTGCCAGGCAGAGGAGGTGACGGTGGGGGTGCTGGGATCTCCCACAACCGCAGCCTGGAAGCCCCATCCTGAGCACCCAGCATGGACTGTTCATTCCCACCTGGAGTAGCCTCTGAAGGTGTGGGGCCGAGCTGCCCAGGGTAGTGGTCTGCCCCGGGGTGGGCGCCCCTTCCTGTCCTCACCTCTGCGGCTTCCCCCGCGGCCCCCACCACTCCCAGGCTGCGGTGTGGCCGCCTTCTGCTTCTGGGGAACTCTCAGATCCCGTGGGCCAGGCCACCTCCCTGAGCTTTCGGGGTCTCCCCAAGCCACTTGACTGTGCCCATCATGGACGCTGTCCCCTCCTCACCTCTCCACCAAGGCCCCTTCCTGGCCTGCCCACCGCACCGTGCACTGGCTGGGGTCTCCAGTCACAGGGCTCTGGCCAAGGTCTGGTGACATCTTGCTAAATCACCTCTGTCTCACTCTGCAGCCTCTTGGGACAGCCAGGGACCAAAGTGGCTAGGTGAAGCCACAGCCCACAGGAAGGAGACCCCAGTTGCCTTACTCGCCCACATGCTCTGTGCACCCCTGCCTGTTCCCCGGCCCTGCCCATGCTGGCCTAAGGCATCCCCTCTCTCCCGCTCCCTCAGTCCCCTGCTGATGTTGGCCCTACCCTGCCTCAGGCTCCACACCTGCCCTCCAACTCCGCCAGGGCAGCTCCCACACTGGGCAGTGTCTGGTCTTCAGTGCATCAGTGAATGAATGAATGAGTGGACAAGCAGATGGATTTGGCCAGCCTGGCCTTTATGTGCAGGCTCCACAGGTGCTGGGCTTGGGCCTGGCCAGGTGCACATTCTGTCTGCTGAAAGGAAAGGCTGTCCTCAGGGAGGGGCGGCTGGTGTGGCACCAGGCCCTGGTCCTGAGGCACTGGCGTGATGGCGGGAGCTGCCCCTTCGGCACCCCAGGGATCCTGCGCGGCCCTTGCTGTGGCAGGCTGTGCCCAGCCCTGACTCATGGCTGTCACCCCACAGGTCCCTGGGCGTGACCATCTGGGAGCTCTTTGAGCTGGGCACGCAGCCCTACCCCCAGCACTCGGACCAGCAGGTGCTGGCGTACGCGGTCCGGGAGCAGCAGCTCAAGCTGCCCAAGCCCCAGCTGCAGCTGACCCTGTCGGACCGCTGGTGAGGGCCCCACCGCCCTGTCCCGGACAGCCAGGCCGAGATGGGGTATCCTGACCCCCAGGCAGAGGCGGCTCACCCTGACCCCCTGGGGTTCCAGCCCTCCCTGGTCTCCCCTCTCCTCTGATAGGGCCTCTGCCCACCACCCCTGCGCCCCTGTGTGCAGGGGGGAAGGCTTGGGGGAGTGCCCAACCACCTCCTGCTCCCGCGCTGCTGGGCCTGCCTTGGCAGATTTGGGGCGTCAGTCAAGTGGGAGATGCCCTTAACGTCCCCAAGACACTGGGAGTTACGGGAACCCCTTCCCTGCCCCATGGACGCGTTCCTGGCCAGCCTTGCCTCTGACGCGGCCCCCGTGGGACCTCCTCGCAGGTACGAGGTGATGCAGTTCTGCTGGCTGCAGCCGGAGCAGCGGCCCACAGCTGAGGAGGTGCACCTGCTGCTGTCCTACCTGTGTGCCAAGGGCGCCACCGAAGCAGAGGAGGAGTTTGAGCGGCGCTGGCGCTCTCTGCGGCCCGGCGGGGGCGGCGTGGGTCCTGGGCCCAGTGCGGCGGGGTCCACGCTGGGCGGGGTGGTGGAGCTAGGCGCCGCCTCATCCTTCCCGCTGCTGGAGCAGTTCGCGGGCGACGGCTTCCACGCAGATGGCGACGACGTGCTGACGGTGACCGAGACCAGCCGAGGCCTCAACTTTGAGTACAAGTGGGAGGCGGGCCGCGGCGCGGAGGCCTTCCCCGCCACGCTCAGTCCGGACCGCCCCGCGCGCCTGCAGGAGCTGTGTGCCCCCGACGGCGCGCCCCCCGGCGTGGTTCCGGTGCTCAGCGCGCACAGCCCCTCCCTGGGCAGCGAGTATTTCATCCGCCTAGAGGAGGCCACGCCCGCCGCCGGCCACGACCCCGACTGCGCCGGCTGCGCCCCCAGTTCACCTGCCATCGCAGACCAGGACGAGGACTCTGACGGCAGCACCGCTGCCTCGCTGGCCATGGAGCCGCTGCTGGGCCACGGGCCACCCGCCGACGTCCCCTGGGGCCGCGGCGACCTCTACCCTCGTGGAAGCTTGGTGCGGGACCAGCTCTGCCCCTCACGCTCACCCTCTGCGGGGCCCCTGAGGCTGGCGGAGGGCAGAGCCAAGGATGCAGACTGGGGCGTGGCCGCCTTCTGTTCTCCCTTCTTTGAGGACCCACTGGGCACATCCCCCTTGGGAAGCTCAGGGGCGCCGCCGCTGCCGCTGACTGGCGAGGAGGAGCTGGAGGAGGTGGGAGCGCGGAGGGCCGCCCAGTGTGGACACTGGCGCTCCAACGTGTCTGCCAACAACAACAGCGGCAGCCGCTGTCCAGAGTCCTGGGACCCCAGCTCTGTGGGCTACCACACTGATGGCTGCTGCAGTCCGAAGCAGACCCCTCGGGCCTCCCCTGAGCCGGCATACCCCGGGGAGTCTCTGCTTGGGCTGCAGGCAGCCTCCTCTGCCCAGGAGCCAGGCTGCTGTCCCGGCCTCCCCCATCTATGCCCTGCCCAGGGCCTGGCACCTGCCCCCTGCCTGGTCACACCCTCCTGGACAGAGGCACCTGGTAGTGGGGGTGACCACCTGCAGGCAGAGCCCAAGCTTGCCACGGAGGCTGAGAGCACTGCCGGACCCTGCCTGTCCCTTCCTTCTGTCCCCTCCCCATCCCAGGAGGGAGCCACACTTCCCTCAGAGGAGGCCAGTGCCCCCGATGCCCCTGACGCCCTGCCTGACTCGCCCACGCCTGCTGCTGGTGGTGAGGTGTCTGCCACCAAGCCGGCTTCCACCCTGAATGGTGGTGGCAGCTCCCCTGAGGTGGAGGCACCCAGCAGTGAGGATGAGGACACAGCTGAGGCCACCTCAGGCATCTTCACCGACACGTCCAGTGACGGCCTGCAGGCTGAGAGGCTGGATGTGGTGCCAGCCTTCCGCTCTCTGCAGAAGCAGGTGGGGACTCCCGACTCCCTGGACTCCCTGGACATCCCGTCCTCAGCCAGTGATGGTGGCTATGAGGTCTTCAGCCCGTCAGCCGCTGGCCCCTCTGGAGGGCAGCCCCGAGCACTGGACAGTGGCTATGACACGGAGAACTATGAGTCCCCCGAGTTTGTGCTCAAGGAGTCACAGGAAGGGTGCGAGCCCCAGGCCTTTGGGGAGCTGACCTCAGAGGGAGAGGGCCCCGGGCCCGAGATGCGGCTCTCTGCCTCCCTCAGTGGCCTCAACGAGAAGAACCCCTACCGAGATTCTGCCTACTTCTCAGACCTGGAGACTGAGGCCGAGCCCACCTCGGGCCCAGAGAAGTGTGGCGGGGACCAAGGTCCTGGACCTGAGCTGGGCCTGCCGAGCACTGGGCAGCCATCTGCACAGGCCTCCCTCAGGCCTGGGGTTCCTGGGGAGGCACAAGGCTCTGGCCTTGGGGAGGTGCTGCCCCCACCGCTGGGGCTTGAAGGGTCCTCCCCAGACCCCAGCACCTGCCCCTCAGGCCTGGGCCCAGAGCCTCCAGAGCCCCAAGGCCCAGCCGAGGTGCCGCCTGGGCCCAGCCCCAGCTGCTCCCAGTTTTTCCTGCTGACCCCGGTTCCGCTGAGCTCAGAAGGCAACAGCTCTGAGCTCCAGGGGCCCACAAAACTGTTGTCAGGGCTGACTCCACAAAAGCGGATGGCGGGCCCAGGCACCCCCAGAGCCCCACTCCGCCTGGCTCTGCCTGGCCTCCCTGCGGCCTTGGAGGGCCGGCCGGAGGAGGAGGAGGAGGACAGTGAGGACAGCGACGAGTCTGACGAGGAGCTCCGCTGCTACAGCGTCCAGGAGCCTAGCGAGGACAGCGAGGAGGAGGCGCCGGCGGTGCCCGTGGTGGTGGCTGAGAGCCAGAGCGCGCGCAACCTGCGCAGCCTGCTCAAGATGCCCAGCCTGCTGTCCGAGGCCTTCTGCGAGGACCTGGAACGCAAGAAGAAGGCCGTGTCCTTCTTCGACGACGTCACCGTCTACCTCTTCGACCAGGTGGGCCACTGCCGACCGGTGTCTGCTCGGGGCTACGGGTCGCGCTCCCGCAAGAAGGGGTGGGAGCGGCCGCGACTCCTGGCGGCCAAGCCACCTGGTGCTCTCTGATCCCTCCAGGAAAGCCCCACCCGGGAGCTCGGGGAGCCCTTCCCGGGTGCTAAGGAGTCGCCCCCCACGTTCCTTATGGGGAGCCCCAGCTCTCCCAGCGCCCCCAGCCCGCCGCGGCAGGCTGATGGCTCCCCAGATGGCTCCACTGCAAAAGAGGGTGAGCCGGGGCGGGGCCGGGCCCATGATGTCACGGGAGGTGGGGCCTGGTCCGTGCCTTGTGGGAGGCGGGGCCTAATGTGTGACATCATGGGAGGAGCACCTGGTCCTTGACATGTGGGAGGCGGGCTTTGGCCCGTGGCGTCATGGGAGGCCGCTTTGGTATGTGACGTCATTGAAGGCGGGGCCTGGTCCGCGCTGCATGGGAGGTGGGGCCTGGGCCCGTGACATCATGGGAGGCGGGGCCAGGCCCATGACTGTGGGAGCGGGCCGGCCCGGGGTCCCAGGCTGTGAGTGCGAGTGACATCGCCACCTGGGTTGCAGGTGGCGGGTTTGCATGGGACGACGACTTCCCGCTGATGCAGGCCAAGGCAGCCTTCGCCATGGCCCTGGACCCGGCCGCACCCGCCCCGGCTGCGCCCACGCCCGCTCCCTTCTCGCGCTTCACGGTGTCGCCCGCGCCCACATCCCGCTTCTCCATCACGCACGTGTCTGATTCAGACGCTGAGTCTGTGAGAGGTGAGGCCCATGCGAGGCTCCGAGGGTGGGGCCCCTCCGTCTAGGTCCCTGCCGGGCCAGCCCCGCCCCACCCCACCCCACCCCACCCCTTCCCAGCCCCAGACCTAGCCTGGACCCAGCCTGGACCCCACCTGGCCCTCAGGCGGCTGCCTTCTCCCTGCACCCGGCTCTCCTTTGCCTGACCCTACCCCCTAGACCTGCGGCAGCCCCTCCCACCAGAACCTTACCAGCGCCTGCAGACCGAAGCCCCACAGTGCCCAGGTGGAGCCCTGCTGGGGGCCTAAGCCATCACTCCCGGCCATGCCCCTCCAGTGTCCGCCCCATCCCAGGCTGGGCTCATCTCTGCCAGGTGTCCCTACCCCTACAGCCCCTGCCCACGTGCCTGATGGCCCCCTGCCATCTCTCCCCTCCCCTCGGTAGATCCATTATTTCCTAGCTGTCCTGGCCTGTGGCTGCAGCCTTGGGGGAAGGGCCCGTCAGCCTCACCCCTGGCACAGGGTGCCCCCTGCGTGGCAGAACAAGCACGCAGGTCACTAGGAGGCCACTACATGACCCTGGCCATCACCTTCCTGTTCAGGCCTCAGTTTCCCTGTGTGTAAAAGAGGACTTGGAGGCATTTGCCGAGCCTTGTTGGCCTGGGTCTAGTGATGGAGGAGTGGGAGAAATGGGTCCATCTCCTACCTACACACAGCCAGATCTGCTGCAGGGAAGGGGCCCGGGCTGGCCCACAGCCCCTACTGGCCCGGCCTGTATGGGGGCCAGGGATGGAGGCCAGGTGGGAGTTGTTGGGGAGGCAGGCCCTGGTGTCTTAGGACCCTGTGTTCACTTTGTCGTCCTGCTTGCCAGGCCCTGCAGCAGGTGCCGGGGGTGAGAGTAAAGAGGCTTGAGACCAGGGCAGCTCCTGCTCCTCGAGGCTGGCATCACCAGAGCCCCTGCCAGGCAGCAGCGAGGATGGTGACCGAGAAGGTGGGGACCATGCCCTGGTGGCTGTTGGCAGCAGATTTGGGTACCTCTGCCCCACATGGTGTCCTGGAGGAGCCCGCAGGATGAGAGGCCCTGGACAGTGGATTGGCCATGCTCCGCCCCAGAAGCAGAATTTGGGCTTCTGGGTTTGCTGCTAGCCCCTGGGGATGCCTGGAGTTCCAGTGGATGTCTGTACACACACACTCGAGGGGCCAGTGCCCCTGGGCACGGCGGCCCCTGCCCTCTGCTCTGCCTGCCGCTGCTGGCTGCCTGGCCTCGGAGGTCCCACATGCCCCGTCTGGTGGCTCCTCTGGTGTCCTCACAGGACACTTGACACAGGAGGAGGCATGGCCCCGAGACACTGGCAGGTTTGTGAGCCTCCTCCCACCCCCTGTGCCCCCATCCTTGCCTGGTTCCTGGTGGCTCAGGGCAAGGAGCGGCTCTGGGCGCCTGTGTCAGTCCTGTTTCCTCTGCCCTTATCTCAAAGTCTGTGGCTGTTTTCCCTTCACTGACTCAGCTAGACCGGTAAACCCACCCTTCCCACAGGGAATAGGCTGTTCCCACCTGGGTCCTGCTGTGGCCACGGTGGGCAGCCAAAAAGATCAGGGGTGGAGGGGGCTTCCAGGCTGCACTCCTGCCGCCGTGGGCCCCGTTCTAGAGGTGCCCTTGGCAGGACCGTGCAGGCAGCTCCCCTCTGCATGGCACTATCCGGTCCTGTGCCCTAGCTGCCAAAGGAGAGTGGGGGCCATACCCCGCAGTCAGTGTTGGGGGGCTCCTGCCTACAGGGAGAGGGATGGTGGGGAAGGGGTGGAGCTGGGGGCAGGGCACGCAGGGAATATTTTTGTAACTGCTGTGGTTGGAGCAAATGAAAGTGGGGTGACTTTAAGTTATTGTTGCCAAAGAGATGTAAAGTTTATTGTTGCTTTGCAGAGGGATTTGTTTTGTGTTTTGTTTGAGGCTTAGAACGCTGGTGCAATGTTTTCTTGTTCCTTGTTTTTTAAGAGAAATGAAGCTAAGAAAAAAACCTTTGTGTGTTGTCTCCTGAGGTCTGCCGATAAAGTCCTGGACAGGAGGGGCTGTGCCGTGGCTGGGGTAGGAACCCGATGCCACCCCTTCCTGGGGCCAGGAGGAAGCTGCCCTTCTCTTCCCCACTGTCCTTGGCACACCCTGGTGGAGGGGATGGTGTTCTGGCCCTACTGTGTCTGGGGGTGCAGGGGCAGATCCCTGCAGGTCTCCCTTCCTGCAGGCCGAGTTGGCCTGGTGGGGACGGGTGAAGAGAGTGGACCTACAGGCCTCTCCAGGACAGCCTCCTCCCTGCCCTTCTGAGGGCACTGTTTGTCCCTGGGCCCAGGGTGGAAGGCGGAGTCAGGAGAGTTGAGCAGAGCTGGGCTCCCCTGCACCCTCTGCTGGCCAGCTCTCAACTGCCCTCCTGACCTGCCAACTCTGCAGCTTCCTGTCCCCAGGCTGTGAGTGGCTGCAGGCGGGAGTGGGCTCTGCTGGAGACTCCTCCCCAGGTAAGGGCTGCTGTCACCAATGCAGCTCTCACCACATTGTATTTCACCTGACAGTATCGAAGAACACAGATCTGCTAATGAAGTTTTAAAACCCCCAACTCCAGCAGGGTTCCCTAGTGCCTACAGGAGTGAGTGGGGGTGGGCGAGGTCCACCCAGGAGTCCTGGGACAGAGCCCAGGAATGGGGAAGCCCCCACCTGCCAGCAGGTACCCTGCTGGTGACCCCGCACAGCACCTGACAGCTGGCCTTTGGCCACAGGAGAGAGCTGGGCGGCCCTAGCAGCAAGGTTCTGGATGGGAGGCTGGGTAGGGAGGAGGCTGGGGCCTGCCCAGAGGCAGGAGGGCGCTGGGGAGGCCCTTGCGACACTGCCAGTGGGAGTGAGGGGTTCAGGAGAGCCCCACTGAGGGGCATGGAGAGGGACCAGGCCCCACATCCAGGCGCACCTGCCGGGCCTGCAGGGAATGATGTGCTTATGGGAAGTTCATCTTCCAGCCAGGATGCGGGCGCTCCCATCCCCATGCTCCCGGCCTTCTGGCCCTTGGGTGGACAGATCACACCTGGTGCAGAAGGAGCCTGTTTATTAGGCAGGAGAAGCAGCAGGGCAGCCGGGCTCCCCTCCCAGCCACCAGCTGACCAAATGTCCTCCCTTGACCCAGGGGCACCCCAGGGCTCCCTGGCCATGTGACCAGAGGTGTATACCCTCAAGAGGTGGCCCCTTGGCCCTGGGCAGCGCAGCCAGTGGGTCTCGGCCCTTCAGGGGCCTGCGCCCCCCTGTGCCCAGACCTGCCCAGAACAGCTGGGATCCAGCCCAGGCCAGACTCAAGTGGGGCAAGGCCAGGCAGCTGGGGCCTGGATGTTCTCTTAACAGGAACGCACAGAGGATGACAGAACAGGCTGCATGGGCAGGGCGGGGGAAGCCGCCGGATGGGCAGCGCCGCAGATGTGGCCATCAGCTGAGGAGAGGGGCAGACCTGTCGTTGGTCACTGTCGGCTTCAGCTGGACATGGGCGAAGGGATTCCTGGAAGAGAAAAACGTGGTTTTAATTTAGGGCAGAAGCCATGGGTAAATTGTGGCACCTGGGCTGCCCAATGCCCCAGGGATCCCCAGTGCTGGATGCCTACAGTCCGATCTCAGGGCACAGAGAGCTCGCAGACAACAGAGGCTGCTTTGGGGGGCAGGGAGGGTCAGGTGCCATCTGCAAGGCTGCCTGACCCCAAGGTGCACCACCCTCTGCTCACCCTACGTGACCTAGACAAGGCAGGGCGCCCCCACTCTGATCCATCACCCTCCCAGCAGCGTGGGTGGGCAGGGCAGGCCAGCCGCACCCTCCCAGTGAGGGGTGGACATCACCACTGAGGCTGGGGACTCAAGACAGCCCTGAACCGGGCACACATCAGTTTGGTGGCCCCCCCCCCACCAGGCCAGGCCCACACCCAGGGACACAGCTTGGCAGAGCGCCCAGCCCAGCCCTGGCATGGGGGCATCCAGAGGAAGGCAGGTTAGGCTTGCGGCTCCCTCAGGGCTACAGATGGATACCCACGGGCCCTGCAGAGCAGCTGGCCATCCCCTGGCCAGACAGTTGTTCCCCTGCTAAGGACTCAGCCACCTGTCCCCCCGGGGGTGCCGCGCCCTCCCCCATGTCCCTGGGGCCACAGCTGATGCACAAATACGACTCGAGACAAGAATTTGAAATGGAACAAGATGAGCATGGATGAGAAGGACCCTATGGATGAGAGGGGCGCCTGGGCCTTTCTCTTTGGAGTCCCCACCTTTGGAGGGGACAGCACAGCACAGGACAGGATGGGGGATGTCAGGCAGCTCCAAGGGTGACAGTACAGATGGCACGTGGACGTTAAAACGCAGCAGGGACGGGACTGTGCTCCGGCAGAGCTGTGCTTGGACTGGAGCCATTACCTGGAGCGGAGTCACCTCTGGCACAGTTGGGTCCACAGGAGCCTGGGCAGCCGGGAGCAACCCCTGGGGCAGGCCGGGCAGGGCTCTGTCCAGCTACCCGGGAAGAGGCACAGGCAGCCAGGAGCAACCCCCGGGGTGGGCAAGCAGGGCTCCGTCCAGCTGCCCAGGAGGCGGCGCAGGGCAGGGGCAGCTCCCTAAGCTTTCCTGAGGACTTTTGTGTTTTCTAAGAACCTGAAACACTTCAGACTGAGTTTTTAAGAGAATGAAATATGTGGAAGAGACTGAAGGGTCTGCGGAAGGCTCTCAGACTTCCAGATGGCGTCTGAGCATTGGCACCCTGCTGAAAGGATCTTTTGATCTCTCAAATGCACTGGAGCCTCAGGGTCTGCTGGATTCCTGGCTTCTTTCAGCTTTGATCTGTGCAGCTTTGCCCTTCATGGGGCCTGGGTAGGGGCTGCCTGGGGGTCCGATGGTGAGGATTCCACCTCTATCCGTGATGTCGGCCCATGCCCTGTCCCCCTGCCAGGCTTGACCCACCCCTAGGGAAGTGCTCTGAGTCCCTCCACAGGCCCAGGGTCCGGAGGGAGCTCCGGGGAGATTAGAAATGGGGCTGGCTGGGCGCGGTGGCTCCTGCCTGGAATCGCAGCACTCTGGGAGGCCAAAGCAGGAGGAACCACTTGAGCCCTGGAGTTCAAGACCAGCCTGGGCAGCAAAGTGGACCCGTCTCAAAAAGAAAAAAAAAAAAGGCCAGGCGTGGGAGTGGAGCATGCCTGTGGTCCCAGCAACATGGGGGGCTGAAGTGGGGGGATCGCTTGAATCCAGGAGGTCGAGGCAGTAGTGAGTTGTGTTCCCACCACTGCACTCCAGCCTGGGTAACACAGTAAGACCCTGCCTCAAAAAAAAAAAAAAAAGGGGGTTCCCAGAGAAGGGGCCTAGACCTGGCCCAGACCACAGCCGAGGGCAGCACAGCTGTGTGGTTCTCACTCCTGCTCCCAATCAAAGGCAAAGGCACAGTGCTAGCCCAGACCCCACGGGGAGCTGCAGGGGTAGGAAGCTCTCCCACCGGTGCGGACCTGTTCCCTAACCTGCAATTTTCTCTTCTCGTCTCCCAGAATGGTGGGACTAGGTGGAGCCCGCTGAACCATCCACACTGGGTGGCTCTGAGGCTGCAAATGCTGTAACCAATCTCAGCCTGACAAGGGCAGCGGGTTGGCGGGGACGGGGAGAGCACAGGCCAGAGCCCAAGGCTGGCTGGGAGAGCAGGTCCATGCAGAGAGGCTGGGCGGCCCCATTTCCCCCACTCTGGCCCCTACCCCTCAGCCGCCTGGGACAGACACGCCCAGGAGGCCTGCAGGGAGCTCACTGTGCTGAGAATGGGGGCCTAACAGCCAAGAGAATGTGACGAAGTTTGGAGCCCAAGGTCACCGCATGGAAGCCACAGACATTGCTCCCTGCCAGAGGACACACGCCAGGCCCCACCTCCTGCAGGACGTGGCCCTGGGCAGCGATTGCCACGAACTACCCAGTGACACCACCAGCACCTCTCCAGCCAGCGAAGGAAAGTCACCAGACAGGTCCAAGAGCAGAGGGTCCCAAGGAGGGCCTGCGTCATGTTTGGGGAGCTGCTGGTTTGGGGAGTTCAGAGGCCTGGGCTCTGTCTCCTCACTGAGAGCCGCCCCTCAGAGGCTGCTAAGCAAGGCCGCAGGGGTGACCAGTGGCTTCTGTAATTTTTAAAATGTATTATTTTGAGACAAGGTCTTGCTCTGTCTTCTGGGCTGGAATGCAGTGGTGTGACTGTAGCTCACTGCAACCTCCACCTCCGGGCTCAAGCAATCCTCCCACCTCAGCCACCTGAGAAGCTGGGACTACAGACGCGTGCCACCATACCTGGCTAATTTTTTACTTTTGTCAAGATCGGGGTCTCCCTATGTTGCCCAGGCTTATCTCGAACTCCTGGGCTCAAGAGATCCTCTCGCCTCAGCCTCCCAAAGTGCTGGGATTACAGGTGTGGGCCACGGTCCCAGCCAACTGGCTGCTTCAAGGCATGGATGCCAGTGCTGCAGAGCCAGCTATGGCCAGAAGGGGTGGGCATGGGCACTTCTGCCAGGAAGGAGGTGGCCAGGGGGCCTCTTGGGGTTTGAGGGACTGGGCACCCCTCCCCTGCCCACGGGGGGCTCTCGGTGTGTCCTGGGGATCCCGTGCCCACCACCCCTGCAAACCCACACGGCCTGGAAGAGTCCACCTCCCCGCGGCAGAGCAGCTTCCCACTCCAGCCCCACGGAACTCGGGAGCGCCTTGGAATGCAGGTGGTCGTCTAGGATCATTTCCTGAACCAACGCCTTGAACGTGAGGCAGAAGGATTCCGAGAAGAAACAGCCGTCACAAAGCGCGTTTTGACCAGTTAGGCGACTCCAGACTCCGAGCCGGGCGGACAACACCTGTTCTGTCTTCTCGCGTCAGCTGCTTCTCTGTGTCTTCGGAAGGTGGGCCCTTCTGGAACCGCGTCCAGCGTGGGCGCTTGGGCCTTCGCTGACAAGTATGGACAGCGGCCAGGGGTGCTCCTCCCTCCACTCTCATTCCAAGGCCCCCTTCTCAGGGCCCAAAGCTGGGGCATGGCAGGGTGGCGATGGGGTTGGGGAGTCCCTTGACCAACTGCAAGTGGCTTTTGACACCCCCAGTCTCAGCTGAGTTGTCAGACCAGGCAGACGGTGTGGCCAGGAAACTGGCCCCTGGCGCTGTGGAGTGGTGCTGGGGCTGAGCGCCACCGCCCCACTGGCACTGCCACCCAGGGTCTCTGCCCTTCCCCAAGGGACGTGGTCCCTGACAGAGGCTGTGCCAGCCTCATCTCTGAGCCTTCACCCCTTCCAAGTCTCACCAGGTGAGGGCAGCCCCCTCGCTCAAAGGGACCTGGGGGAGTGGGGGGTATGGAGGTCTCCCAGAAACAGTGTCTCAGAAGGGAGAAAGATGGAGGTGGAAGGCAAGGTGGCGGCCAGGGCCAACCCAGAGCATCTATGCTATCCAGTCCCCAAAGTTCAGGAGCATTTTTCTACAGAACCTTCCAGAATTCGTGCCGAATATCAACAGAAAGGCAGCAAAGAAGACAGATCTGTGATCTGCCTGTGGCTTGGCTGCCCATGGGCCAGGATGCCTGCTGTGACCACCAGGGAGACACAGGGACCAACGTCCTTTGTGAAGGATGCAGGCACTGGCTTTGCAGAGCTGCCCTCCTAGCAACTTAGGGATGGAAGGGTGGTGGGAAGCAGGACCCGCCCAGACACAGGTGCAGCGGATTGGAAGGTGTGGGTAAGGGCCCCCTATGAGGGCACAGGGCCTGTTCCTGGGCAGCCTGGCACATCTCAAATATACACTGGGCACCAGGGAAGTGGCCCACTCAACCCGCGAGGAGATGGGCTCAGACCTGGACTCCAGAGTCCCACTGGAGTTGAAGCCATAGTGGCCCTGTGGCCCCCGGAGTGAGCGTCAGCTCAAACCTGGACCCAGCAGTCCTCCAGGTCTGCAGGTGCACACTTGGGATGGAGCCAGTTGGTTCCATGCTGTGGGGCTTGGGGGACAGAAGAGGCAAGGTCAGACTAACAGCACAGCCCCATCGCCAGTGGGCCCAACACCTGGCTCCAGTGCCTATGGAACTCCCCGGGGCTCTCCCCAGGACCCTAGCCACCAGTCCCCACGAGGCTGTCATCCTTACCAGCCCCAAAGGCACACCCGAAGGAGCCCAAGCTGGCGCTGCAAGTCAGGCGGGAAAGGCCCAGGCTGCAGCTGCTTGCCGGGGTCACCCCTTGACTATAACTGAAGTGCCCAGCAGGGCAGGAGAGGACCACAAAGAAGGTCAGGGCCAGAGCCATATCCAGCAGTGAGGGGAGCCCCGGGCACAGCCAGCCAGAGTCCACAAGCTTCCAGGAGGGGAGAAGGAGACTGTGAACCCAAGGAGGGGACCCAGTAGAGAAGGCCCAGCACCCAGAGCAAGAGGCAGGCTCAGTGGACCCCTGGCCCTGCCATGCAGCCAGGCCCTCCCCACCCAGGCTGCGTGGCTGAGGCCAGAGGACCTGTGTAGACCCACTGGCCAGTGACCGCACAAGAACGCCAGGCAACTTACTAACTCTAGTCAGGCGGCTCAGAATCTGGCCACTTCCACATCGGCGCTGCAAGGAAAGACAAGGCTCAGTTGGAGGCGGCATGGGGTCTGAGGACTCGGGGTTGCAGAGGAGGGGGAACCACGGGCGAGCTGCCAGGAGACCGAGAACCCTGGAGCACTTGGGAGTCGGCACAGAGCTGGGGCTCTGGCTCTCCCTGGACGGTGCCTGCGGACCGGGCCTCACTTGCCGGCCTGGAGAAAGCCAGGAGCCTGCCTCAGCCGCAGGTGGCCCCGCACTTTCCCCTGGGGCGGCGGGCCCCCCGCAGAGCCCCGCCACAGGGAGTGACTGTCACTGGGCCAGCACTGTGTGCAAGCCCAGGTAATCTAGCAGGCGACTGAGTGCCAAGAAAACACCTGGCAGAGGCAGGCACGAGGCGGGGCCCCCACGGCCCAGACGCACGCCGGGAACCAGAAGGAGGTCCATACCCAACTCGTGCAATAAATAAAACTTTTATTCAAACAAGTAACTGCAGTACAGGGCACAATTCAGATTTTTTAAAAAAGGAAAGGAAACAGGAAAAAAATATGTTCAGCACTTTACATCTTCATACAAGTGTTGCTGTTTTGTGTCTACATTCATCCATTGAGCATGGAATCCCCTGGATTTGAAATCTTTAGCGGAGCGGGAACGCCGGCGCGGCGGGGTCTCTACATAGGGCCCGGTCCGCCCTCGAGTTCCCCTTAACCTCAGGCGGTCCGCGTCTGGAGCTGCTTCCCACACAAACCAGGCCACACCCCAGGCCACGGGGAGGTGTGCGGGAGGCTTTTACTAAACCATATCAGATAAAGGAGCGTCGCAGCTTCCCAGGGGCTCCCACCGGCAGGCAGGCTGAGCCGGGCTGTGCCCTGCACTCAATTCCCCAGAGTTCAGTGTGTGAAGAGACAATACCAGTAGCCACTGAGTCCACTGTGTTTGTTTCTAAAGTCACCAAGACACACAAAAAGACGAGCGCGTTTAGGAAGAACCAGGCAGGAACCGCCTGTCTCCCCCAGGTGGGGGGTGTGGGTGCGACGTGCCCAGAGCTGCCCTCCCCTGGCCGGGCCTGGCCCACACACCCTGCCCCGAGCAGCCAGGTAGCCCGGGGCAGCCTTGATGCCCTCACAAGGCTGGTCAAAGGAATGTGGGGGGGGGGGGTAGTCACTGGAGGTCTTTGGAGTGTCCGTGTGCGGCCAGCCAGGCAGCGCCTGCCCCCGACCTTGCTCCTGCCGGTGCCCGACGGGAGGCGAGGCCACTCTGCCACGCTGCTCTATGTACACTTGGCCCGCAGCGTCCGGAGGGAGAAGCCCTCAGGTGCCCGGGCCCGGCCTCCCTCACAGGAGCGGCCGGCTTCCTCAGGAGGCCCCTCGAGCTTGGCACGAGCCCCCTGTCTCTGTGCAGCCCTCCACAGGGGCCGGGGTGAACAGGGACCCCAGCACCTTCCCTGTCTGGACAGAGGCCTTTGCGCTGGGAAAGTCAGATGCGAGATAACAGCGCACACCGGAGTCCATGCAGATCGGTTTTTGTTTTTCAGGAAAAAAAAAGTCCTTTTTCCTGTTTTTCTTTTTCTTTTTTTTTTTTTTTTTTTTTTAAGATTTTTTTTTTTCTCCAAACTTTAGACCTGGCTCACGGCGAGCCTTAGAAAAGCAGTGAGTGCCACGGACACTGCAGGGTGGGGCCGAGGGTGCCCCGCACGGCCCAGCAGGTCCTGCCTGGCAGTTTCTGCTCGAAAGGCTGGGACACACAGGGTGGGGCGCGTAAACACCATGGGGGGGGCAGGGGCGGATGGAGCAGCACCATGGACCCTGGGGGATCACAGAGTCTGGGGTCACCAACCAAAAGGCAGGGGCAGGTGGAAAAGAAAAACAACCCAGGAACAAACCAGCGAGAGCTGAGGAGGAAAACGGACGGAGACCAGGGGGAAGGCGCGGAAGCTCTTCAGAGCAGCGGCTGCCCGGGGTCAGCGTCCTCACACTGTGGACACCAGCGTGCCGCTGCCACTGCGAAACAAAGCACAGGACGGCTGCCTGGCTGCACAACGCTACCCAGCCACAGGCAGCGAATCTGCCCGCACCAAGCAATGCCCCTTTCAGCAGCTCCCGTTGGCCTCCTGGCCCTCCAGGAAGGCAAAGGACAGGGGTGGAGCGCACGCTGGGGGCAGAGGAGGCTGCAGCCCCAGCCACGGATGCCGGCCTCAGTCACCCTCCCCAACCTTGCCTTTGCCTGACAGGGATGGATGGGGCCAGCCAGATGCGATGAAAGAGGGGCAGGGCCCAGGGGGGTTTCCGTGTCACTCGGAGAAAGCAGGAGGCCCTGGGGGACATCCCTGGCTCTGGCAGGGGTGAAGGGCCAGGCTGGGCCCTAAAGGAAGAAGAGGTGGCCCCAGGTCCTTGGAGAGGGACCTGCCCCACCCAGCCTCTTCACACCCACCCACGGTCCCAAAGACAGGTCTGAAAGCCCCTTACCTGCTCATGGACCGCGCTCCATAGTCATCCAGGCCCTGGAGGGAGAGGCAGAAACACGTCAGGCCAGGTGATGGCGCCTGTGGTCACCCCCACCCGGTGCCTGTGGTCACCCACAAACGGTGATCCTGCCTGGGCAGGGTTCAAACCGTGTTCCCTCGGAAGGCTCCCCGTCTCCCGGCTGCAGCACTCAGAGGCCTGCCTGGAGCCCCGGAGCCAGGGGTAAAGTGGTGACTGCCCAAATCAACGGGGATGCCTCCTCCAGCCAGCGACCGCCTGAATTTGTAGGCTTGTTGCACCCTCCCAAACACACGCAAGACCAGCCTCCTGGGACCCTCCGCCCGCCTCCCCCGAAGGGCAGCTGCAGCACCTCACCCATGCCTGGGCGGGCCCCTGGGACCCTCCACCCACCCATGGGACCTGGGCCCAGACCCCAGCTACAGTTTCCTGGAAACTTGTCACATGTACCATCCCGACCCGTGGGAGGGGGACACTGCCTGGGAGGAGAGCCCAGGTGTGGTGCTGGCGCTGGCTGCGCCCTTTATCTGCCAGCATAGCATGGCCTGGCCTGGGGCAGGTGCAGACCCCTCCCTTGGCTCTCCCAGCACGGAGTCCACCCCAGAGGCCGACCTGTGGAACACCCACAGCCCAGAGCCCGAACCTCTCCAGGTCGCATCCTGCGGCCTCAGCTCAGGCTGTCAACCTGGGGGCCCCTCACTTGTGGGTCGATAGCTGAGCAGTCACCCAGGCTGCCCGTTATCTCAGAAAAAGGTGGGTTCTCTTCTCTCTACCCACTGCCTGAGGCCCAACCCTGGAGACTGGCCCCGGGAACAGCTGCTAGCCCGGCCAGCATCCCACAAACGACCCCCAGCTGAGAAACTCCAGGCCGACAGGGGTCTCCAACCCTCCAACTCCAGGAGCCTCCCCGGACGGAGAGGGTTGGGACCTGGCAAGCTACCATGCACACTCACATCCTGTCCCAGCCTAGACACCAGGACCGCCATGATCCTGGGCTTCCGAGGACACACACCAGGGCCTAGGACCCAGGCCCTGATCCTCCAGCTCTGGCCTCCTGGCACCAGAGGGCCCACATCCAGGGTCACGCTGACTGGAAGGGTCCAGCCACGTGCCAGGGCTGAGCAGCAAGCACTCCCATCATATGGATATGACTGAGGGAGCCCCGTGGTTCTCATGGAACGGATCCTAACCCCCTGGCTCTCCCAAAAGGCAGCCGGGTCCAGGCCCACCTCTAGGCCAGCCACTTCCCAGCCCAGACGCTGCCCCCTTGGGCAGAGCAGTGAGCTGCCCATGGCTGGCTGAGGGCACCATGAGGGACGGGCCGACCCCACCCCAGCGTGCCGACACAGGGAGCCTGCTGGGGCGGGGCGAGGCAAGCAGCCTGTGGCCGAAGCAGGGGTGTGCACACATTCCTAAATCACGGAGCCTTCACCCCAGGCCTGTCCAGAGACCCAGACCCCTAGGCACCTGGCCCCTCAGCCGACGCTCCAACGTGGGACGGCAGGCTGAGCCCACTGTTCCACCTGCGGGCCCCTCCTAGCCCAGGCCCACCCGCTGACCTGGGAGAAGGCGGGCACAGCCACACTGTAGGGCCTCTGCTTGAAGCCGCTGGTCGTCTGGGTGGGGAAGGCCCGGGAGGCGGCGCCGTAGTCGGGGGGTGGGATGGCCAGGTCGTCCTTGTCCAGGAGGTTGCCGGTGCTGCTGCTCTTCCCTTGCTGCAGGCTGCAGGGACAAGGACTCAGAGATGGCCCAGCAGGCGGGACACCCCCAACACCCCGCAATCCTGTGGGCTCCCTGGACGGCCCACCCTCACCTACCCCACGCCACATGCGGGAAACTGCTCTCAGGCCAAGGCTGCAGCCCTGGTGACCATGGGCCAGGCCAGTCTGGCCTCCCTCCCTCCTCCTGGCCATGAAAGTGAGTCAGGAGGACTCCTGAGGGGCTGGGCTGCCACAGCAACCCCGACCCTCCCAGCAGCCATGCACCCCGCCAGCTTTCAGCTGCTGTGATTCTCTGAAGGCTGGGAGAACCTGGAGGACCTGGGACAGCCAGCTCTTTGCACACCTGGCCCCCAGGTGCTGCCCCCACAGCACCTGCTGCCTGCACTGGTGTCCCCAGGGCTCTCGGGCCCCACCGCACAGGGTACCACCATGCTTCCACCCTGAGGGCCTCAAGCGCCCAGCTCTCAGGGCCACTGGGGATGGCCCTGCGGTAGCAGACAAGGAACCAGAAACCCATCCCAGCTTTCCAAGCCCAGGGACCTGCTGGTGCCATCGCAGCCCCTCTCCAGAGCTGGGGATCTAGCACTCCCATTGGGCCCAGCGCTCACCTCATATGCAGCCTGTCACTGCCGTCGCTGTCCAGGACCCGGGTGTAGGAGAAGGGAAACCAGCCCCGCCTGGAAGAGAGGCCCCAGCTAAGAGCCATGCTCAGCCCGGAGGCCCCGGGTGGGGGCAGTGGCTCCCCATCCCCCATCGACCACCATCCAAGCACAAGTCCCTCTAGCTCCCCAGCATGGGCTGCGCCGCTGTCTCTGGAGGAAGAGCCTGCTCCCACTGTGTGCTCAGCCTCAAGGGCAAGGTGGCCCAGGCTGTCCCCAACCTGGCGGGAGCTGCCGGCCCCACCAGACCCAACTGCAAGGCCCCAGAGCCCAGGCAGAGCAGTTGCTCCTGCCTCGCAGCCCCAGTGCCACACTAAGCCACAGACGGCACCAAGACACGAGTGGCCACTGGAAAAAAGACGGAGCAGCCTCCTGGGAAACCCCCTGCCCTCGGCCCCCTCCTCAGGGTGGTGGCTGCAAGGCCAGGCTTAGGAAGGCACAAATGTCAGGGCCTTTTCCCATCTTGCCAAGAGACACACCCGCACAAACACCGCCCTGGGAAGGCAGCCCCCAGGTCCAGTGAGGGTGGCACCCTGGCCCAGCCTCTCTGCAACAGCATTCAGTAAACTGGGGAGGTATGGCCCATCTGACTCCATAGGTGACTTCTAGAACTCCAAACTTCCACATCTGGCATGTGGAAGAGCTGAAAGCTGCAGAAAGCCTGCGGTCTCAGGATGGCCAAGCCCTGCTCTGCACCTGCGAACTGTGGGAAACTGACACCCACCACAGGGCTTTGGCCAGACGTGCTGAGTGCGTACACGTGTGGGACGCCACACCCTGCACCAAACTGAGTGGCACATCGAGGCGATGGAGCAAGGAGGTCACTAGACTGCGGTGAGAGACCCCTGCCGTGGGGGAGACCCCTGCTGTGGGGGAGAGATCCCTGCCGTGGGGGAGACCCCTGCCGTGGGGAGAGACCCCTGCCGTGGGGAAGAGATCCCTGCCGTGGGGGAGAGATCCCTGCCGTGGGGGAGACATCCCTGCCGTGGGGGAGAGATCCCTGCCATGGGGGAGAGATCCCTGCCGTGGGGGAGACCCCTGCCGTGGGGAAGAGATCCCTGCCGTGGGGGAGACCCCTGCAGGGAAGTGGTTGGGGGAAAGACCCCTGCCAGGGGAGAAGACGCCTGTTGGTGGTGAAGACCCCGGGTCACGCTTGCTCTCACTGCCCAGGTTTTCTAGGGTGAGGACCTGTGACCTGCAGTGAGTCTAAACACAAGGTCCCAGCGCATCTGAGTGTCGCCGCGCCACACACTTGCTGAAGGCAGCGGCTGCCTGGACAACCCGCCCCCGAGACACACTCACATCTTGGTCTTCTCACTCTCTCCGTAGTGCCAGCCATCGCGGGCCTCAGGCACCAGCAGAGTAATGAGGTCACCCTCCTTGAAGCTCAGGAGGGTGCTGTTGTCCCCGGCAGCGTGGGAGAAGATGGCCTTCACCCGCATGCGTCCGTTGCGCTCCAGGCCGGCTGCCATGGAGCTCGAGCGAGGCAGAGTCTTGTTCTCAGCTGTTGGGACAAAAGACAGGTAAGGGGACGGCCCCCGGCTCGCGGGGCAGCAAAGCCCAGGGAGCCTGGTTGAGGTGCTGTGCCCCAGGTGGGCGAGTGAGCCTTTCCCGGGCTGGCTAAGCTCTCCCAAGCAGCTGCTGCCTGCACGAGCCTATCCCAACCCAGTACCCCACTCACGCCCTGACTGAGCACCAGAGGCCTGACAGGAGGAAGCTGGGTGCTGGGCAGGCACATGTGTGTGTACCACCCGTATGTAGGCACACACAGCCACACACTGGTGAGCCTCAGGGTCTCCCAGTCCCCTACTCGGGGGTGTGACATGTCTGGGGAGGCACACCCAGGGACCCTTACTGGCGGCGTAGCTGTTTTTCGGGGTCACGCTCTTGCGCACGGGGAGCGTGTTGGAGTAGGAGTCGCTGAGCTTGCTCTGAGGCTGCGGAGGAGACAGGGATTTGGGCTGGGCAGCCTTGCGGTCAGCCCACGGGCTGTAGTCCTCGCCATCCGGGCCTGCGACGCCGTTCATGATGGGCGTGCTGTCCTGGGCAGACATCCGCTGTAGGGAAGGGGGTAGAGCAGGCTGTTGCTGGAGCCCACCGTGGGCAAGACCGGGGGAAAGAGAACCCTCTACCTCCAGCCCCTCAGCAGGGGGCCTTGGGCTCTGCACCCTGGCCGCCCCCAACCCCGACAACAGCTGCCCTCCCACCCACACCCGTGAAGCTTTCCAGAGGCCACACTCACCCCCACGAACGGTGCCAGCTCAGGGGGCACCGGCAGGGGCTTGGCCCCCGGAATGGGGTCCGAAATGACCAGGTTGGACTTGGAGGCCGACAGGGCGCTGGGGAGGGTGGCGCCGTTGCTGGCCGCCTGCTGCATCAGCTGCACGGCGCGCTCTGGGATCTTGCTGGGGTCAGCGCAGGCCTGTTGCCACAGCGGCAGCTTCTGCGCCAGCAGCTCCTTGCCCTGAAGTGGAGAAAGCAAGAAGGGAGGGGTAAGGGCTGGCTCAGGCTCCTGCAGCCGGGCACAGCCCTGAGAGCCCTCCCTGAGCACCTTCTGGGGCTGGAGGCTGCTCTTCACCAGGTGGTGCCACTCAGCAAGACAGGCCACCCGTTAGCCTCTGACCCCAACCCACAGAAGTGGCTGCTGGAAAAGGGCCTGGGATGCGACCACAAGTCATGCAGTCAGGGGACCTCCAGGAATGAGAGCAAACCCAGGCCCAACCCCCGTGGGGCCCATCAGCGCCTGGAGGAAGGAGAAACGGACAGGGGCGCACAAGGTCAAACCCCGGTGGGCAAACCCCAAAATGCTAGGAAGGCATCCCAGGTGGCCAGGGGGAGGGGGCGGTGCTGCCCAGTGGGGGTCAGCCTGGCTGCCGAGGGCAGGAAGGCGGCCCTGTCAGACACACTGAGGTTCACTGCTCCACATCCACTGCCCGTGGGCCCAAGAGCCCGCTCTCCCTTGGATGTACTACTCTGCAGCCTGCTGGACACACACCAGCTGAGCACAGTGGGGACAAAGCAGCAGGAAGCCACAGGCGTGGCGAAAGGTTGTGGGACTAGGGGCCAACCAGGCCTGGGTCCTGGGAGCTAATCAAGTAGCCCCTGCCTCTCCTGGCCATTTGGCCTAAGCAGGCTGCAGGGCCTAGATTCCTGGGACCCCCAGACCCTAAAGCCCTGGGCCAGAACTGCTATGTCTCTGGCACCTCTGGGGTCTCTCCGGCTTTCACTGATCCCCCCACTCATCCCTGTTCCGTTACACATGGCTGGGCACCCACGTGGGGGACCCACAGAGGGTGCTGGACGACAGCCCTTCTGAGCAAGTCCTGCCCACGCCACCCTCACCCCTCCGCTGCTGGCTTAGACCAGGTGTCAGCAAACCACAGCCCGAGGGCTGGCCTCCTGTTTTGTAAACAAAGTTTTACTGGAACACAGCTGCGCAGCTATTTGTGAATTCATTCACGGCTGCCCTCACACTGCAGTAACAGAGCTGAGACTCCACAGTCCACAGAGCCAAAAGCATGAACTCTGTGGTCATTCAGAACATCCGCCGAACCCTAGCTCAGATCAGTGGTAGAGGAGTGAGTCTTGTCGGGAGCGTGGAGGGGCCAACAGGGACCAGCATCAGGGCAGACGGCCAGGGGACACCGACCACCGACCTCACAGCCCTGACACAGTGGCCACAAGCCAACGTCACCCCCTCCACCCTGAGAGCCCCAAGGCAGGCCCAAACCCAACCACCAGGGAGCTCCTACGAACTGCCCTGGGAGGAGGCTGCCCTCACACCCTGGCCCCCAGCCCAGAGGCTTGTCCACGTGGGTCTGTGGGACACAAGCCTCTTCCACACATGCCCGGGGGCCCACGAGCCCAGCAGCTCAGCTGTTGCCACTGCACAGGCACATCCCGCAACCCCTCCTGGGAGACAACGGCACCTGCAGCCTGGCTTCCCAGCCCTCCATCCCTGCAAGCAGCACCCCGGCCACTGACAGCTCTGGCTCCCTGGCCCTGTCACAGGGCCTGGCCCCCGCCAGAGGGCGCAGACGCTCGCCACAGTCCTGGGTCTAGCAGGCAGGAGGTCTGCGCTCCACAGCGCTCCCTGCCTGGCAGTTGGGGCAGCACAGCCTGTCACCAGTGAGTCCCCCAGCAGCCAGGGGTCACAGGTGCTACTGCTGCCCTTACCTGCACCTGCCCACAGCGCCCAGCAGGTGCAGGCCGGCAGGAGGGGTCTCTCCAGGGAGGGAGGAGCACTTGTCTCCTGTCTGTCCCCAGGCTGTGGGCACTGGAGCACTGGTTCCATATCACGTGTGTGTGTGTGCGCGTGTGTGTGTGCGTGTGCGTGTGTGTGCGCGTGTGTGCGTGCGTGTGTGTGCGTGCGTGTGTGTGCGTGCGTGTGCGCGTGTGTGTGCGTGTGCGTGTGTGCGTGTGTGTGCGCGTGTGTGTGTGCGTGTGTGTGTGTGTGTGCGTGTGTGTGCGTGTGTGTGTGTGTGTGCGTGTGTGTGTGTGTGCGTGTGTGTGCGTGTGTGTGTGTGTGCGTGTGTGCGTGTGTGTGTGTGTGCGTACTGTGTGTGTGCGTGTGTGCGTGTGTGTGTGTGTGTGTGTGTGCGTGTGTGTGTGCGTACTGTGTGTGTGTGTACATGCACATACACGAGTGTGTGGTGGGTGGGGGGAACAAGTGTCAAGGTATAGCCCGTGGATCCCTGGGACCCCTTCTTTTAGAAAGACATGACCAGGTCCTCCCTTGGTGGGCTTGGCTCCTGAACTCCATTTGCTAAACTCTTGAGATGTTCCAGAATGTGCCAGGAGACAGATCTAATCCCACCCTAACTCCTACTCATGGACTGTGGGTGAACAGGGGCCAGCTGGCCCTGCCTGTTCCCGGTGGGGAGCCTGGCCTCTGGGCCTTGCTTGCTCTGGGGACTAAGTCAGCCTCCTAGAAGGGGTTCCCCTTGCTCGCATGGGGGCTCAGGACATCCCTGGAGGGGGCTGCTGCAGCCCCTCCCTGAGGAGCTTGCTCCCGGTTCAGCAGGGCCGGGTGTGGTCCTGGCACATGGCGGAACCCAGGGCAGGATTCCCTGACAAGGAACGACCAGGCTGGAGATGCCTAGCAGGAAACACATGGCCACAGGACTGTGCAGGGGGTGGGGAAGAGAGTCTTCGGGCCCAAGGAGGGGCCCTCAACAGACGACGGGCAGAGGGGTCTCTCAGAGGTCACGAGGGAGCAGCATGTGGCCACCACCCAAGGCCCGACCTGGGATCCCAGGGGCTCGAGTGCAGGCAGAGGTGGTGGAGGCGCAGGTCACAGAGAGCCTGGGAGCCAGGGGAGGACCCTGTGACCAGGTGTGAGTCCCAGGGAGTCCCCTCTGGAGCAGCACGGGAGGGGCTGGGGGGCCACCTGAGAACCAGGCAGGGCCCCTGGCTGCCCAGGAGGCAAAGAAATAGGCCAGGTTCAGGTTGGGTGAGGGGTGGCAGGTCCACGTAGGACAGCCAAGCTGTGGCAGGTGCTGGACCCGCGGCCAGTGTCACGATTGTCTTGGGTGGCTTAGGGGTCCGGTAGCACAGTGGTCTTGGGTGGCTGGGGACCCAGGCTTGGGGCTGGGAGTCCTCAGCACCTCGGGTGAGCAAAGCCATGAGCCCAGAGGCTGTACCCCAGGACTGTGGATTGAGGAGCCACAGGAGGAGCAAATGAAGACACAGAGGCCACCCACCAGGTGCACCTAGCACGGAGCACGACCGTCCCCTGCCTGTTGTCAGCCTGTGCCTCCCCAGGACAAGGCTGTGGCAGAAGAGCCAAGAACATTCTTTTAAATGAATGTTCTAAAAGGTCTTGAAAGCCCATCAGACTCTCCCCGGTTGCAGGTGGCAATTCTAATGCAAGTCTTCAACATGCCTGCACCCCGCGACCTGGTAATTCTCCTAGGACTTCATCCCCAAGAAAACCCGAAATAAACATGAGTTCAAGCCCAGACACTGCCCTGGGGTGCTCACGGGGCTGGGGCAGGGGCCTAGCTCATTTCTGCCCGCGAGGCCCAGTGTCAGCACAGCGAAGCCCCGAGCCGCCTCACCTTGGAGTGGTACGCCGCGGAGTTCTTGGCCACAGCGCACTGCTTCTCCACCAGGAAGCAGAAGCGTCTGCGCTCCTCCGTCAGTGCGGTCTTGTAGCCGTCGGACACGTAATTCTCTAGCTCGCCCTGCTTGTTGCTGATGGCATCGATGTACTGTGGAGGGAAGGGGAGAAAGGCTCAGCCAGCAGCAGGCGGGCACCTGTCAGGCCCGGTTTGGGGCAGCCCCACGGACTCAGTCAAAGGACATGTCTAATTTGTGCAGAGCAGAGGCTTCTGGAAACAAAACAGCATCTGCGGCCACTCAGGAGACAACTGCGCCCCCAGGAGGCTTCAGCTGCCCCGGGACCACTCAGGAGACGCCCGATGACCACATTCCCAGGCGGCTTCAGCTGCCCCGGGACCACTCTTGGCGAGTGGAGGGTCCTGCCTCCAGCAGGAGGCTCTGGCAGGGGGCTGGCCTCATCTCCTCGGGGCTCCCGCTGTGGGGTGGGGTCGCGTGCACCTCCCTGTGGCCAAGGCACAGAAGCCTGGGTGTGGACGTGCCCCAGCTCCATGGGCGCCAGGACAGCTTCTTGGTCCTCCCGTTGCCTGGAGCACCCTCACCTGCCCCTCTGCCTCCAGGGCCCCTCCATCTCAGCCCCAGCAGGAAAAGCAGGAGAGCTGGAGCCCAGGACACTGGCCAAGGACCCCAGGGAAGCCCTCTGCTGCAGAGGGGACTCGGGAGGCCCCTCACCTCCTCTCCCACCCCCGACTGTTTTCCAGATGAGCGCACACTGAGGGAGAACGTGAGAAGTTAGTTCATGGGGTGGATCAGACAAAAGGTCACTGAGCGGAGGCCGGGAGCCCAGAAAGCAAGACCAGTGTCCGCGGGGACAGCAAGGTCAGATACCCAGGTCACACTTGTCGGAAGAGAGTGTGCCCAGGTAAGGGGCCAGCACAGAACTAGGAATGAGGAGGCGGCCTGATTGCTGCCCTTCCATCTTGGAGCTGCTCGAGTGCCCACCTGGGTGTCCCTGTAGGACGGGGGCACAGGGAGAATGTGTCCTGCACAAACACGGAAGCTCTGGAAACCCCCTCATCCCTGGCAGGTGCTCTTGGGCACAGGAAAGACAAGTAGTCAAGCCAGACCCTAGAACCCGAGCAGCCAGCAGGCAGACCCCATCCCAACCCGGCGGTCAGCCCCTCTGGAGCCCTTGCGGCTGTGGCCCTGGCTCTGACCATGGCAGCTGTCACGTCTTGGCCACTCTCTACTTTGTGGTGGACACACAGTCCTCCCAGAAAAGGTTCCAGCCAAAAAACAACAGAAACCGCTACGGCCAAAATGATTTCCCCAAAAGGAAAACTGAGTCTCAACCTGACAGAGCCTCCAGATTCAGCTACCAATTCTGAACACACCAGGACAGAGGGTACCAGAGCTTCACTTTGGGAAGATGGGAAGTTCTGGAGATGGGTGGTGGTGGTGATCGCACAACCACGTGAACGCACTACTGCCGCTGAACTGTGCACTTAACGGTTACCGTGGTCAACTGGATTAGTCACATGTATTTTATCACAATTTAAAAGACTCTTTAAAAGTAGTCGTCTAAGCAAAGCCAGACCAAGAAGCTGCAGCTGAGCCCAGTCTCTCCGCTGCGACCCTCAGGAGGAAACTGGAAAGAGGGAGTCTGAGGGAGAGAGTGGGGAAGAAGCTGAGGGCGGCTGCTGCCTCCCAGGCCCCGGACCGTGCTTCCATCCCGGGCAGAGGCGCCTCCCAGCCTGCCCGTGGGTACAGGGCTTGTGGTGTGACTCACGCGGCCAAAAGGACTGTGGGTGGAAGTGACAGTCCCAAACCCCAGGGCACTCTGCCTCTGTCCCTCTGGGAGGAACATGCCCCCCCAACCCCCGCCGGCCCCTCCACGACCCCGGCTGGCGGATCATGTGCCTGACATCCTGTGGCACAGCTGACACCTGGCACCCGAGTTCCCGATTCCAGAACCCCAGCCCAACATTGGGAGGGATCGACTGCGGCCCTGGATGTCAACGGCTCTCTCCGGTTTTGTAGGCTGGAAACTTTCTGTCCCAAAATGCTGATGAGGCTGTGGGTGGCTGGTGAGGGTGAGGGAGCAGCACGCCAGGCACAGACCCTGTCCCCAGGGAGACACCCAGATCCCTCCCGGGTGGCCGCAGCATCCTAGCTGCTTCAGCAGGGAGCCAGATCCCTCCCGGGTGGCCGCAGGATCCTGGCTGCTTCAGCAGGGAACCAGATCCCTCAGGATCCTAGCTGCTTCAGCAGGGAACCAGCTTCTCTGCTAGGAAGGTCTTCCAAGCTCTCCTCTGTCTCGCCTCTCCTCCTGTGCCTACCTGCCCTGGGCTGAGCCCCTACCGGCCTGAGGCAGACCCTCCACAGCAAGACACAGACCCCCTGTCCACCGGATCACCCGTCAAGGAGTGGCCAGTTCAGTATCGGCTCCTAAGAAGATGTGGCCTCCGCAAGGGGGCGGCCTCCCCCACCTGACTCAGCCTCACGGCCGCCCCGCCCACAGCTCTGACTCAGCGTGAGTGGGCAGCGCCGGCCCAGGTGGGTGGCGGGGAGGGGAGCGGAGCAGCCTGTTCCCCCGCTGCCCACCCCCGCAAGCCTCCACTACAGGGTGAGAACCAGCCAGGAGGGGTGTGGGTTGGTCCCAGCGCTACCACCGGGCACCGGCTCTGCCTGCTGGCCAGTATGAGCAGACGGTGCTGTCCGCAAGGCTCGAGTCTGCCCAGCCACATCCCCCAACACGGAGCCCAGCGCTCCCCTGCCCTTGCAGCCCGCCTTGCTTTCCCACACTAAACCCCACCTGCCCCTCCAAACAGTGGGCTTACTACCGCTACCCTTGATAGGCCCTAATCCCCCAGAGACACTGAAGGGCCTGGCCACAGGGTCATCTAAATGGGACCTGGGATGGCGTTTGGGAAGCGAGAAGTTTGATCACAGGCGAGAGGCCCTGCAAGGCAGTCTTAAGCAGACTTTCCAGCCAACTCTGCTCCATGCCGAGGCCTCTGCTGCCACCCCCACTGCTGCTGCCGCCGCCTCCCCCTCCACTTTCTCCTTTTTCTCCTCCACCTCCTCCTCCTCGTCCTCCTCCTCCTCCTCCTCTTCCACCTCCGCAGCTGGAGCACGAAGTTCTCTTCCTCTGGTTACGCAACACGAACCTACCAGGGCTTCCTGCTCTTGCTCCCAGGAACCTCCAGTGACCTCTGAAGCTCCTTCTCCAGGAAGGGGTGGAGTGGGACAGCCGGATTCGGGGGTACCCTGGGGCCTAGGGAGGGCATGGTGGCCGTGGCCAGGATGCCACATGCTGCAGCTATGGAGGCGGCCACCTGAGCCCGCTGTGCTCCAGCCTGGCTGCTGGACTCCTTTCCCGACCTTCAGGATCAAAGGGACTGGGTGGGCAGGGCTCGCTCCGAGAAACAGGTAGGCTTGTGCACAAAGAGGGGCCTGGAGATGAGTACCCACCCATGGCCCTGCAACATCACTCAGAGCAACACCCAGGCCTGTTCCGAGGCCGCCTGCAGGGTCCTGCCCACTCCTCCCCCAGGGAGCTGCCAGGGATGCTGAGGTGCGCCTCCAGGCTGTGAGTGGCCTGTGATGGGGATGCCTGCCTTGGACCCCGACCTCATGCACAGCAGTGCACAGAGGAGCTACTCGGTGCCCAGAACCCCTTAAGTGGGGCGGCCTCAGGAACGTGAGGTTCCACGGAGAAACCCCCAACACACCCCATCATGAGGATTCTGTACCCTCCCTGGGGACTTTTCTAGCAGTGGCTGGCCCAGAGGGCATGGTGAGCAGAGAGCTCAGGGCCAGAGAGTGCTCAGCAGGAGATCCGACGCCTGGCAAAAGAAACTGAGGCACTGAGAAAAGGCAGGCCTGGGGGTCTGCCCAGAGCCACGGCCTCCACGCAGGTTGCCGTCTAAATAGGACTCGGGGGAAGAGAAGGTGCTGCTGGAAGCGGTCACCCCAGGACAGCAGCATAAACTAGGCCGCAGGGCCCCTTGGGTCTCCTCACCCTGAGAACGTCACCTTCCAAACCAAGGCCCCTGGAGCCGGTACGGCTGCCCACCCTACAAGCGGTTTCTGGGTTTTTAGGCTACAGTACTTTCTCACGCTCATGCTCGGTCCCCCAGGGGAGAGTACAGCGAGGGGTACTGGCCTCATTAGCAGGGTCTGGCAGCCTCCCTGGCTGGGTAGGGAGTTGGTGTTTTATTTTTAAGGCTTCCACTTACTCAAAGGAGCCCCGTAAATGGCTGGGAGTGGCACACAGATTTCAACAGAAACCCAGGGGAAGTTGGGGGAGAGACAGAAAGTACGGCTGCATGGTGCTACAGTGGGGCCCCTCCAAATCCTGGGGACAGAGAAGAGAGATGTTCCCAGAGCTGTAAGCAGGGATGGCCAGCCCCCGGGGGATGGAGGGAGCCGACACCTCCTGCCTCAGAGCCCCCATATGAGCATCCGGCCATGGCGGAACCTGAGTTAGCGCGTGACATGCGGCTGCCACTCTGTCTAGGAATGACAGCCGTCTCTCTTCACCTCCTTTTCCAGAACACTAACTCCTCATATAGGCCACGACTGTGCAGGGCAGATCCTGGAAATCTAGGCCAGGCAGAAGCTTCACCACACAAGGGGCCAGTGCGGGGATGGGGAGGAGAGGAGGGGATGGGGAGGAGGAGAGGAGGTGGCGGCCAGCGCTGCAGGGCCCGACCAATTCTGACCTGCTGCTGGACTCCTGGACGGGGATGCCCTGCATGGGGCACGTCCAAGCTGGGTGGAAAGTGCAGAGGACAGAGCACGGCCTGGTCTGCACCTCCAACCTGGCAGCCGGCCATTTACAATGGCCCTGAGCCTGCCCCATGGTCAGGCAGTCCCAGTGGCCGGCCCCCTTCAGCCCCCACCCGCCGCTGAGCCACCGGCTGCGTGCTTAGCTGGGTGCCATGGCGACAGCACTATGGAAACACCCAGCTGAAAGCATTTAAGACCCACAGAACGCTCCCACTTAGTCACCCTGGGCTGAACGGCCCCGTGATCAGAGAAGACAAAAGTGATCAGAACACATCTCTCCGCAGCATGCGGTGACTCAGAGTGGGGGAGGGGCGTTCCGGAAAAAACCAAGGCGGCTTTGGTTTACCTCACCCGCCAC